TGCAATACCCCGAAGTGGAACGTCTATCCATCGGACATCCGGCCCAGTCTGCATCACAGTATCCCAAAATATCATGGTGGCCTCGATCTTCAAACAACAATCCTTGCCCTGGAGTTTTCTTGATGTATCTCAAAACTCGGATAGCTGCATCCCAGTGTCCAGTACATGGCTTATCAAGAAACTGACTAAGAACACTTACCGCAAATGAAATATCTGGTCTTGTGATGGTAAGATAATTCAATTTGCCGATGAGTCTTCTATATTTTTCTTTGTTGGGCAAAAGATCTCCTTGTTCTGATAAGAGTTTAACGTTTGGATCCATTGGTGTATCCACTGGCCTGCAATCTAGCAAACCTGTTTCCTCAAGAATATCCAAGGCATACTTTCTTTGTGAGAGAGCAATTCCATCTTGAGACTGTGCGACCTCAATGCCAAGGAAGTATCTCAATTTTCCCAAGTCTTTTGTTTGAAATTTGCTAAAGAGATGTTGCTTGAGGAGCGCAATTCCTTGATCATCACTACCTGTAATGACAATGTCATCAACATACACAACAAGATAAATACATTTGTTGCCAGCAGAATGTCTGTAGAATATAGAGTGATCGACATCACTGCGAATCATGCCAAAGCTGCAGACAACGTCACTAAACCTCCCAATCCATGCACGTGGAGATTGCTTCAAGCCATATAATGAACGACGTAATCTGCACACCATACCAGACTCCCCCTGAGCAACAAATCCAGGTGGTTGCTCCATATAAACTTCCTCGTGCAGATCTCCGTGAAGGAATGCGTTTTTAATATCCAATTGGAACAATGGCCAATGGCTCATTGCTGCCATGGATAAAATCAAACGAACTGATGTTATCTTCGCTACAGGAGAAAAAGTGTCAGTGTAATCCAAACCATATATCTGAGTATACCCTTTCGCCACAAGGCGTGCTTTAAAACGATCAATCTCCCCATCAGGCCCAACTTTAACTGTGTAAATCCACCGACATCCCACCATTGATTTGCCAGTGGGAAGAGGGACTAAGTCCCACGTCCCACTAGAATGAAGAGCCTCCATCTCAGCCAACATGGCTTTACGCCACTCCGGGTGTGTCAGTGCCTCATGTGTGGTTTTAGGAATGCATATATGAGACAGGTGTGAAATGAAAGCATGGTAAGGGGTAGAGAGGCGGTGATAACTCAAAAAGTTATATATGGGATGTGGATTCAATGTGGAACGCGTACCTTTTCGGAGGGCAATGGGCAAATCATCCTGAGTGGTTTCAAGTGCTGGAGTAGGTGATGGTGGTGATGCAGGATCCGTCGTAGGGGAATCAACGGGCGTGGCCACGATGGGCTCAATGGGAGGAGGTCGAGGACGTCGATGGTATACCTGTAATGGACGGTCTGATATAGGAGGGAAATTTGGGTGCTCATCAGATGGGGGGTTAATGGGAGTCTCTTGATGGATGGGCCGGAGATATGAGGTGAAGTCCAAACATGATGGGGTATCAACTGAAGATAATGGATAATAAAAGGACGACTCAATGAAAGTGACATCGGCTGAAATAAAATGTTTCTTAAGTATTGGAGAATAACAACGATAACCCTTTTGGAGTCGCGAATATCCAAGAAAAATACATTTTATTGACCTAGCCGACATTTTAGCTAATCCAGGTGTCGTATCATGGACAAAACACACACACCCAAACACATGAGGTGGTAATGGAAATAAATCACGAGCATGAAACAAAATAGAATAGGGAATTTCATTATTAAGAACTGAGGAGGGCATTCTATTTATTAAATGACACGCAGTGAGCACAGCATCTGCCCAATACTGAGGCGGTGTATGGGAATGTAATAATAGGGTACGAGCAGTATCAACCAAGTGTCGGTTCTTGCGTTCAGCAACCCCATTTTGTTGAGGCGTGTGAACACAAGATGATTGGTGAAGCATACCCCGTGATGTCATGAATTGATTAAAGGGTGCCGCAAAAAATTCTTTTGCATTGTCACTGCGTAAAATTTTGATAGAATGACCAAACTGAGTGCGAATTTCAGCACAAAAATTTTGAAAAATATGAAATAATTCAAAACGATCTTTCATTAAAAACAACCATGTGTAACGAGAAAAATCGTCCACAAAAATAACAAAATAACGAAATCCTAAAGTAGAAGTGACTCTGTAAGGACCCCATACATCTGTATGAACTAAATCAAAGGGGGACGCAGCCCGTTTATTGACCCGTCTTGGAAAGGATTGACGAGGTTGCTTTCCAAGATGACATGACACACACTCTAAAGATGAAAGACTTGAGAAACCTGGAACCAGACGTCGAAACTTTGAGAGACTGGGATGACCCAAACGATTATGTAAGGTAATGGCATGATCAACCGACACACAAGCAATTGGATCAGGAGGATGAAGATGATACAAGCCTTGAGATTCATGTCCGACGCCAATCGTTTTCCCCGTACAACGGTCCTGCACAATCACAGAATCAGCAAAAAAGGTTATAGAACAATTAAGAGCACGTGTAATTTTGCTAACAGAGACAAGGTTAAAAGGGCTATCGGGAACATATAAGACTGAGTCTAATGGTAAGGAAGAAAGTGGAAGTGCTTGCCCAATACCCGTGGCCGAAGTTTGAAGGCCATTAGCGAGAGTAATTAAAGGAAGATGTTGATGCTTGGTAATACGGGATAAAAGATGGGGATTACCAGAAATATGATCTGAGGCACCGGAGTCAAGAATCCATGAGCTTGTGGTGTTTGAAACACAAGCGGTAGACGTACCAGGTGTAGATTCAAGCATGTGACTCGACTTAAATTTCTGATATGTTGCATATTCAGCTGGAGATAGAAAAACCGGAGATGGAGGGATCTGAGCAACATTGGCTGAGCTAGGAGGTCTCCCATGTAACTTCCAACACTTGTCTTTAGTATGACCAATCTTATGGCAGTAGTCACACTTAGGACGGTTTCGCCGTGGATATCCTTTGTGATTTGCTCCATCAGGACCTGAACCTTGGGATGCAAGAATGATAGAGTCGCTAGAGCCTGATTCAGCTGATATCGGGGCTGCGCGAAGAATTCGAGCAAAAGCATCTGTCATAGTAGGAATAGTGGAACTAGAGAGAATCTGCTCTCGTATAGATAATAGTTCTGGACGAAGGCCTGCCAAGGCTAAAACCATAACCAATTGTTGTCGTTGTTCAAGTTGTTTCTCTTTATCTTCCGTGATTGGCTGAATGGTATTATACTCAAATAATAAAGCCTCAGCCCGTCCCAGAAAATCTTGAATATCTGAATCCTGTTGTTTGAGTGTGGCAATTTTGGAGCCGAAAGAAAACAGACTTTGAATATCGTTCGTGTAATTAGACTTGGCTTTTTCCCAAATCTGTTTACACGTTCGATAGGATTGATATGTGAGATGAAGTTTCGAATCCATTGATTGCCACAAGACATTGCACAACAGAGCATCCATATTCTCCCATTCGGTCTTCTTTTCTTGGACAGAAGTAGCATCTTTAATCAAGTGATCAATTTTTCCTTGACCTTTGAACCACATCTCCACGGAAATGGCCCATGATTGGTAATTAGCACTCCCAATTAATCGATCTGTAGTGATAATTGGAACAGAAGCAAACGAAGAAAAACCAGAAGACATTTTTTTTTTCTTTTTCTTTTTTTTTTTTTTTTTTTGTGAACAAGAGCAGCAAAAAAGTTAAATATTTAAAATAGTGCAACAGTAATTAATGTGAAGTAAAGCAGCTGTAAGAATTCCTCAGGCAGCAGCAGTGAAGCCCGTAAGAATTCCCAGGTAGCCAGGTAGGTTGAAGAACAGGACTGTAGCTACAAAGGCATGAAGAAAACAGACCTTTATCTTTCTGGGAGGTGCGGAAGATTGCTGGCGGGCGGCGTAGGACACAGGGCGACGGCGTTCACGGATGTCGGCGGCGGCGGCAGTCGGTGGTGGTCGGCGGCGGCGGTCGGCGGCGGCGCGTGACTCAGTCGGCGGCGGCGTAACTTATGCCGTTCTGGTCGCCGGAAAGTCAGGAACTTCCAGTGGTTGGAGGTGTCAACGCCAGATAACTAGAAAGAGAAAGATCTGAGAAAATGTAAAACTGCAGTGCGGACTTTCAGCGGTGCGTGGCGGCGCGTGGCGGATGCAGCGTAGGTGATTCTTCCGGCGGTAAGTCGCGATGAAGCGTTGAGCACAGTAGTAGGCTGATATCACTACTGAAAGCACTCAACTGAACGTTGCGACACTGTTCACGCCGGAATTCTGGCCGGAAATGACGCCGGCAGAAAATAGCATAACACTACACTAACGATTGCCATATAGGCTCTGATACCATGTGAACAAGTATTGTTGTATTTCATATACTTGATGTCTAAAAAACTATACAAGAAGCTATATTTATAGCTATATTTAGAGTACTAGGGTTTCCTATACAAATGGGCTAAGCCCAATACTACTAGGGTTTCCACAAGGACAAGGTGGTTGTTTAAGGGGGGGAGATATGATAGGAACCGGGCAGATTAGTGCTAATAATAAAATAATGAGAGTAGTATAAATAGAAGTTAAGTAAGGAATAAAAATTAAGCTGGGATTATCCTTTTGGCTTGGGACTTGGAGAGTTGGCACTCTTTAACTGCCTTTGTACTTTCTCTCTCTATTTTGTTATACGAAGCTTTCTATTGTTACATAAATTCTGTTTCCTTCATCTCTAGCTCTCCAAAACTATGTAAATAGGATCCTTCTTTATTATCCACCTTGTTCTGATTCTATGGGATACATATCATTCATTGTCCGTAATAATAAAGAACTTTCCAATAACAACTTATGAATGAGATAGAAGTAACGGTAAAAGTAGAACTAGACAAACAATTTTGAAATTTAAACTTTCATATTCCAAACAATTAAACTTCACCCGGCCCCTTTCATACAAGGGGACATTTAAAAACCCTGCAAGGAACACAGAGAAAACCCAGAAGCTTACCTCAATTGAAGGCAAAAGCAGAGAGCCATAACGAGGATCTCTTCCGACCATCTGCACAATTTCTTGATCACTTTCCATACCCATGGCCTTCAAAACAATCATTATGGGAACCTGTAAACCGAATTTAAAATCACCTATAAAGCTAATAGTATTGTAATACAAGAATACAAGAAATGAAGTTGAACAAAGTTCAAAGCGCAGAGTGCATCAACCTAGAGATAAAAGTTTAAAAACTGACCTTGCTTTTGAATTGATTCAACTCCAGATAAATCTTTTCTTTGTCCATTTTTATGATTGTTTTACTTTTTATATTCTCTGTGCTGGATGTAACAGACGCTTGAACACTGGAAACAAGATTAGAAGAAGAAATAGATGTTGCATGAATAAAGCCCAAGAATAATCTCAAAAGCTTCAAAAATAAAAAGGCAAGAGAATTTGTCATTGAAATGCTTCAATGAAAGGAATGATTATGGAATTCTCCCCCTCTTCAAGACAGTACCACTATATGCCAATAATACATCTTGCATACTAGGACACTAAAACTTCAACTTGAATGAACAAGAAAATAATAATAAAAAGACAAAATTGCACAGCATCCTCTAATGTCTTCAGAGCGGTCAATACAGGCAAGAGAGTGACTGTTTATAGTTCGAATTTCCAAAAGAGATCGCCTAGATGCAGCTGACAATTACAAATCTTAACCTAAAAAGGTGAGTGCACACATGTTCCAATTACTCTACTGAGAACAGAGAACAAATTGTGTGTGGAAGCAACAGAGAACAAATTACCAAGGAGAAGTGCAATAAAGTTATAATAATGTGAACCCCTTACCAGCCCTTCCTGTCAGTATCAATAAGTATTCTGTTCTTGGAAAGCTGCTCTTGAATTAAAATAACCTGGATTGATCGAGTAGAAGACAGAAACTATAGACTATAAAAAACAAAAGTCAAACATAATGAATAATAATTTTCAAAACTAAGAAGTGAAGCCAGATATAGTAGACAAAAGGGGTGATATGAGGAGTCTCTTACTATTAATAAATATTACTTTATCATCACCATTATTATCATTAATATTATTATTTAGTGATGCAGTTTTAGTCAACTTCTTATTGGCCTAGCTTTATGTTTCTATTACGACCAAGGCTCTTGTAGTAGCAAAATAAGGGTCTCCAGTATTGATTAATAAACCTTTAAAGAATTAATTTGTCTCTTGACAAGTAGGGCTGAGCATAATCCTGTCTAGACCAGAACACCGGACCGAACCGGACTGGTCAGTCCAGACTGGACCCAGACCGTTTACATACCGGTCTAGTCTTCGTTCCAAGGATTTTTGTCCAGTCCGGTCTGAAACCCGGAATATTCCAGTCTGGACCGGTTAGACCGGAATTTAAATATTATATCTACAAATATATTTATATATGCATTAAAATTTTACGTATATACATACTACATATGTTAGAGTGATAAAATGCTTTAGGCATTAATTCAATTTGCACATTATTTAAATATTTAGATTAATAACATTTTATAACCTAAATCGTTAAAATTTAGGATCGTTTTTATTTTCTTAGTTTATCTTGTTTTGATGATAATACATTAATACGTACACGCTTAATTTAGTTTAATTTGTTGAATTTGTAAAGCTAACGAGTTAAATTATTCGTTGAACTCATCGAGAAACTAATATTAGTTTCTTGTATCAATATGATCATATTAGGAGACTTTTTCATTCTAATATAAAAGGTTAAATGAGAAAAGATCATACATAAAACAACAACAGAATATAACAGAAATTCTCAAGCTGATAAGGTAGTTTTTAAATAATCAGAACTACTTTTTAAAAGTTTAAACATCTAAAAAATAAATGAAAGTAAAGTTCCGGTCCATACTGGTCTGGTCCAGTCAAAACCGGAATAATCTAATGACAAGGTTGGGCACCAATTAATTCTAGCTTAAGATTATTTTATTTGTCTTCTTTCCCATTCTCTTTGAGATCCAATCGCGCTCATAAAAATTTGGTTGCTGAGCCGTTTATTTCCTACTCTTTGTTTTTCTTCCACAACTCATCAACAGAAGGAAAAAATGGAAAAGAGTACTGCAACTGCTCACTAGTGGACAAAGATCTCCAACTTTCCAAACCCACACCACGATACCATAATCGGTACGGTTCTGCCCCAATGTTTCTTATCTTTCTGCTGCGAGAAGATTAATAAATCTGAAAATGGACTATGTCATGATTTAGTAGGTGTTTTTTCTTATAGCAGGTTTACTTTATTGCTGTGTGTGTGTGTGCTTTCAAGTCTGTAGCTTCAAAAATACACAAAAAAAAGTCCAGAAAAAGATGAAAAAATATGGACTAACAAACTTTACATGTCACTGTCTCTGAGTTATGTTGTTTCGTTAACGAATATGATTCCTTGTCTACTTTTGGTGGAAGATGAGTGCAACATATTGAAATTTTGAAATGTGATTGGATTGAACTCCAAACTTGGTACATGTTGATTCCTCTCTGGACACAATTACTGCCTTGTGGGAATCTAAACAAAAGAGTATTTATGAAGGTTGTTGCACAATAACGACTTCACCGGTTGCTTTATTGCCCATAGAAATACAAACGCCTCCACAAGTCCACATCTATTGTCACCAGACCATCTTCCTCCACTTCAAACAGTTCCCTTACTTCAAAGTGCTTAATTTAGGCAGAAACAGGTCATTGAAAACACTCATTTCAGCTTTTTTTAGGCAAAAAACTGAAAAGCACTCTTTTAAGTTGCTGCAAACACTCCCTTAGTCAACTTCTTATAAGCCTAGCTTTATGTTTCTTATTATGACTCTTGTAGTAGCTATATTAGGGTGTCTAGTATTGATTACTAAACAACCTTTGAAAAACGAATTCCTGTGTGTCTTGACAAGATCGTCGAGCGTAAAAGCCGTAAATTAATTCTACTTGGGCTTATTTGATTTGTCTTCTTTCCTAATCTCTTTAAGATCCAACCGCACTCATAACAAAGGGGCCCATAGACAGAAAATAACATTGTCAAAACCCTTATACGTAGTATAAAGCATGATAAACACATTGTTCATACCTTTTCAGTGCCTTTGACAACAAAATATCCTCCTGGATCAAGTGGACATTCACCTAAAGTGAATAAAAAACAAGTACAATGAATATAGTCAATATATAAATAAAAGTACATGATTATCAAAGACAAAAAAAGAAAAAAACAAAGAAATCACCACAATCATCATGCAAAAATAATTTATACGGTTCATTGTCATATATGTTTGCTAAAATCAGTATGATATGCAGGCCTTGTGGCAGGTCATATGTTAGACAGGCAGTAAGGCAGCCAGTTCAGTTTTATAATAAAGTCTACCAAAGGAGGAGGAGTAAGGCAGTTAGTACTAACTAACTAGTCTGTTAGTTCTGTTTGTTCCCTGCGTGGATCATTTACTATAAATAGAAGCATATAGAACTAGAAAAGGTAGGCTGTTATGTTAGTTGGGACTGGACTTGGAGACTCGAATTGTCTAAGCTTGTATACCTTCGATTGATCTGTTCTTGTTCAATACACCTACTGTCAATCTGTTATAGATGAGAATACCTTTGATTCTCTATTGTTCTGATTAGCACTATACCAGTGTTCTATCATCATACACCATCAAAGTTTATTTGTGTCAAATAACCAATAAAACAATTCCAGTGCTCATACACCATCAAAGTTTATTTGTGTCAAATAACCAATAAAACAATTCCAGTGCTCGTTCTCTGGTGATCCATTTAGACGAACAACTACTTTCATGATCAGTAACTATAAACAGAAGATAAAGTCTGAATAATGTTCATTAAATAATAAACTACTACTGATATTGATATGACTTTAAGCTCACAACTTCTTGAGGACTACTACAGTGTTTATATAGAGACAACGGGCCTAATCCTCATAGGAATCGGAAACCTATATCTTAAATGTAACACGAATAGCAAGCAATAGTTTAAACGCTAAAACTATGAAAACGATGTTACACTTTCTGTTATTCTATACTCAACATAAACATACAAAACTCAATGGAAAATCTAAGTGGCCAGAGGCATACGAAGGCGTGCCAATTCATCCTCATCTTTTCCATACAGGACACAACAAGAACTCCTTAGCATGACAGGCATTCTTCCGATGCAAACTTTAGTCTAGGAGGTGTTTCAGAGAGCATGCATGCACCAAGAGACGGAAGAAACGAATAAGAGCCTTGAAATCAAATTCAGAAATGGCAAAGCATTTTCAGCTAAATAAAATTATAAGGAACAGTTACAGTACCTTGCTTGCAGGGGTCATTTGCCCATTACTCCCCTCTACATAATCAATATTGACATATATAGGAGCAGCATAGCTAAAAGTTAATAAAGAAACCATGTGATGAGAGAATTCAGAGAAAGTAGCAATATGCAGATAATTCCCTTTATATTTAATTTTGTAGGGCAACTTTATAGAGCTAAAAGAAAAGGAAGTTGGATTTGTTTTGCATAACACTGCACTATTTCTTTTTAGAGAGCATCCAAACTCCAGAGGGAAAGCACGATCAACAATCACACAACTCACACCAGGACCCCAGTACAATGAGAATAGTTACTAACGTTTTATCTGATTGCCGACATTCATGTGGAAACAATGTCAATTCGCTACCATCACTCATAACTGATGGTCTACCTATCCAAACATCTGTGTACCTGTAATTATGAAATAGTTACTGTGGTATCATGACAGTATCTGGTTCACAAATTTGGGGGGGGGGGGGAATGTTGCCATATTTATGAAGACCACTCAAGAAACAACAATGAAGGCCCACCTGAGAAAAATACGGGAGTCAACTGTCGATCTAATTTCCTTATTTGCTTTGACAATCTTTTTTATCTCAGTCCTAATGAAATAATTATAAGAGTCCAAATGTTGCTTCACCAATCCTCTCACCTGCAATTTATCTATTATTCATAAAAGCAAACGAGAACACCTTTGTGCTAAACACTGGTAGCATCCAACACTAAATCATTTTAATCTAGCATGGAACTACTAATAGAAAAATAATCATTCCACAAGTTATTTTCGTGTTTTGGCTGGAATTGTGAAAAATATATTTTAAAATGTATATATATACCCTAATCCTTGCAGATGCTTGTAGATACTTTTAAAGATATTAAAATTAATATTTTAAATACAGTTTTAGATAATTCAGCCGTTTCATCAAATTTTGTCGTAATCAAACATTAGTCTTTTAGTATACTACCTAGGGTAAACATAAAAAGTGCAACCGTATTCATAGAAATAGATTTGTTATACACTGCATGTGCATGGTATTAGCCACGGGAAGTTAGAAAATCCCTGGACTGTACCAAAGATACATGGTACGAAAATTGGGTCTTTTAACTTCAATCGCGGAGACAAAATCTTCATCATGTACCAGGAACGTTATAAAGATTTGGTCCTGATGATCTATTCAGTACAATCAATCATCATTTACCCCAGTGCCGCAAAGGCTCCCACCTACGGTGGGGTAAGGGGGTCGGATGTATGCAGTCTTACCCCTGTACTAAAGCACAGAGAGACTGTTTCCGGATGACCCATAATGAAAATCACGTCCAAAATTGCTTCATAACAAAGAAGAGCAGACAGTTTGGTGAGCCACTTTGCTTTATTCCATCATATTCTCAAGCCAAAAAATAATGAATCTTTGGCTCCATTGCAAATGATGGAAACCTGATGATCTATTCAGTACGAGACGGGAAATTCAAGAGACTTCTCATAAATTTGAATAATACATAACTCTGCATGGGTAATAAGGATGTTTTTACTTGGACTGTCATAAGGTTCCATCCTACTGTTTGAACAAATTTGAGGATCTCAGTGGCACTGTTTTGATAAAGAAACTCCTATTGGTGGAAGGAGAGGTGGGTACAACTTAACGATTTTTTAGGAAAATATTTAATTAAGAATAGAGTAGATCGTAACTTCGTGTATTATTCGATCATGTTTTCAGCTTTACAAAAGGTTAACTATATACACGTTCTGAACTCTATCTACAGCAAGGTAGGTTCCACAAAAAGAGAACTCTATCCCTATACGTAAGTCAAGCGTGTTTAGCTTGTTACAAAAGATAAGGTCAAAATAAATAATATATTTATGTAACAAATAATTATGCATGCGGACGTCCAATAATAATGCTAACACCCCTCTCAAGATGGAGCATGGGGGTCAAGAATGCTCATCTTGGCAAGAAGATGATGAAATTGAGAAGCTCCCAAAGCTTTAGTAAAAATATCCGCCAATTGCTCCGTAGTAGGCATGTAGGATGGACTAATAGCACCAAACTTCACGTGATCACGAATAAAGTGACAGTCAAGCTCGATGTGCTTGGTGCGCTCATGAAATACAGGATTGGAAGTGTGATACCCTGAAAATTTAAACAAAAATAACCAAAAATAAATAAATAAATAAACAGATTAAATAAAATAAAAGACACCAGATAAAATATATCCGACAGAGAAAATAAATTGATTAAAGTGTTATAAGTGATACTAGTATTTTGTAACAAGTGATAAATATACATCAAGAAAAAAAACGACATCTCACCCATTTTAATTTAGAGCTATGTGTACAAAAATAAATGTTAAAAGAGTTGACTTTTCAAGCCTAATTAATATAAATATACATAATACGGCGTATGAATAATAGAGCCGCATTAACAATAGTATACGTACATAGCAATAATATAGCAATAAGATAACATAGTACAGTGAGTCAGTGATAATATATTATCATGCTACAAGGATCACCAACACATTCACATGGCTGCCATACCAAAGTCACATGCATACGCATGCATCTTGCATGTCAAAGTTGATGCCAAATATTTCCTAGCTAGCATTATTGAACTACTAAAACCACATAAGCTGTATGATTAAATAGCAGTAGACCGTCCAACCAACGCTTCACCAACTAAGGATAAACTTCAGTTATATACACATAGACATACCACATATATATCAAAAACTAGTTCCAAAAACCGCCTTCAAACCTTCGGCCGGTGAAGCAAGAAGAGCGAAAGAGAGACTAAGAGTGAGTTGATCATCACCGGAGGAAGCAAGACTGTCGAAGACCGGACTTACGACCGAGCACACCTTGATGCCGGGTTCCTTCGTTGGACGTCTGGCTCGCCGCTGCAGAAGTGGGAAAGAAGCCGGAGAGCTGGCCTACGTTGCACCTGTACCGACTGTGTGAGGTAGAAGAGAGCTCGATCGGTACATTCTCTTAGTTTGTTTTGTCTAATAAATTACTAATGAGCTGATTAAATAGATTAATTGGTATAAACGATTAATTGAGAATAAGGATATAAATTTAATATAAGTGGGTAACGTACGTGTTTAATCATGAAGAGCTAAACTTAAATCGTAAATTGGATAATAATTAGGCATGTTAATAATAATATACTCCGTATAAGGGAGAAATCGGATAAATTATTGAGAATAAAATAAGTGACTGATTATATCATCTTAATTAAAAAGGTGATTATTTAGAGACAAGAATAGAAGAGGAGAACTAGGAGCTTCAGAGTTAAGGTAAGTTTCTCTGCCGATCCAAAATGATTTCCTCGTACTATATGTTATTATATGATTAAGTGTGAATTTTGAATTATGTGTATGTGATTTTGAGGAGATATTAGATCTATGGTATTTGAGAAGTGCAAACTAAGTACTTTTGGGTATCAAATATTTTTAAATACCTTTGAGACTATTTAGAGAGATTGAGAAATATTTTTAGAAGTATATCTAAAGTCAAGATAAAATTTACGTTTTCATAAGAAGTGAGCACCCGGGAGAAATCCGTGGTGTCGGTTTTCCACATCCGGATAAATGTGGAGGGTGATTAAGGCTGCTACTACTAAGAAATACAGTTTGAGTTTGAAGTGACGTTTGGATCTATGATCCCTTTTAAGAAGAAGTTATAGTAGTAGTAGTAGTCCCTAATCATTCAAGAATTTTAAAGGTGGGGTAGTTGGTAGACTGAGTCCCGATTACTCGTGACGACTTACTACTCGGAGGGCTTGGAATCCCTTTTAGGGGGTGTGCACACTTAAGGTAGTCGTTTCGTTTCCATTAGCAGTTGTGGTACCGGCAAAAGTCCCGGGGTGGCCGTACATAACAACGTAACCACCGGGCTCAACTAGAGTGTTGAGCACCGCCCTTCTAAATTACTAGGAAGATAGAGAAGAAGTGAATTTTGAGAAGTTCTAAGAGAAGAGTTACTATAGTATTTTCGAAGAAAAGTTGAGGACTTTTGTAAAGAAGTGATTTTGAGAAAAATCAAAGAGAAAAGAATTTTGAAGGAGTGTGTCATTTTTATATAGTATTATATGAAAAACTATTTTTAGCCAAACCTGATTATTTTACGGGGTTGGGTAGTACTTACTTAGCTCTAAAGCTAATTTTTGTTTCCTTTTCTTTGTTTTGTTTTCTGCACTTTATTTGTGCAGGTGATGATGCTTATGTGGACTGATGATTGTATGACCACGAGAGCGGTTTAGAGATGCCTTAGTCAAACCTAGTCAAGAATAAACAATTATTTACAAGTACATTAGTTTTTATTGTTTTATTTTGGAATAGCCTGTGCATTCGGTTAAGAGATGACCGGATGTGGCGGTAACACCCATTTCCCATTTAATGTTATTTCCGCTGCAAAACTTTTTATCTGTTTTGAAAGAATAAATCAAGTTTATTATCAATAAATCTATTATTTCAAGTATTATTTTGGGAGGGAAAATGGGGGTGTTACAGGAAGCAATATGCAGAGCTGTCTTGTTATCACAAAAGAGCTTGAGTGGTGGAAGCTTAATTCGTAGAGTAGAAAATAGGCTTCGTAACCACAAAAGTTCACAAGTGTTGCCATGGAGCGATACTCGGCCTCAGCAGAAGAGCGAGAGACCGTAGCTTGCTTCTTTGTACGCCACGAAATAGGAGAACCGCCAAGTGTCACAAAATATTCGGTGACAGAACAACGTGTATTAGGACAAGTGGCCCAATCAGAATCACAATAGCCAAGAAGGACAAGAGGAGAATTGCATCGAAACAGTATGCCTTGGCCTAGGTGTCCCTTCAGATAACGTAGTACTTGTAAAACAGCGTTCCAGTGCGCCTCCCGAGGTGCTTGCATAAATCGAGAAAGTATATGGACATAGTAGTTTATACCCGGTCGTGTGAGCGTAAGATAAATGAGTTTGCCAACCAACCGCCGATATTTTTTCAGGGTCCGAAAATAATGGACTATCATCATATTGAAGCCCGTGATTTTGGGACATAGGAACGGTAGAGGGTTTTGCTCCTATCAGACCTGTCTCAGACAAAATATCTGGTACATATTTTCGTTGGCACAAAAAAAATACCATGTGGACTCCGTGCAATTTCTAGGCCAAGAAAATATTTCATAAAACCCAAATCTTTGACCGGAAAGGTACGAGCCAGATAAGATTTAAAAATAGAAATCATCTCGCGAATGCTTCCAGTAATGAGCATATCATCAACATACACAAGTATGCATAATGGGTGTCCACCTCGGTGGAGAGTGAACAAAGAATAGTCAGCATGAGACTGTGAAAACCCATAAGCAAGAAGTGCATCGGTTAATTTGGAAAACCAACAACGTGGGGCTTGACGAAGCCCATAAAGAGACCGCAATACTTTACACACCTGTCCCGGTTTAGAGGAGGAATAACTGGGAGGCAAATGCATGTATACCTCCTCCTGCAAATCTCCATGCAAGAAGGCATTGTCGACGTCCATTTGGTGCGTTTCCCATCCTCGCGAAGCAGCAATTGCCAAAATAGTACGCACCGTGACCATTTTGGCAACGGGAGCAAAAGTCTCGTCATAGTCAATTCCATGTACCTGGCGGTTACCACAAACTACAAGTTTGGCTTTGTGGCGATCAATACTTCCATCACTCCGGTATTTTATTTTATACACCCATTTACAATAGATAGGTGTCTTGCCAGGAGGGAGTTCCTGGACTTGCCACGTACCCATGCGCTCCAACTTGGGCGATTTCTC